TGTAACTTAACATAATCATAATCTGAATGGCTGGCTGGCAGTCACTAAACCCAAAGGTGCCTGTATCAATATTTTTGCTGTGGCTCCTAGCACAGATGTACGAGGAATCAATAAGGAAATCTCTAGATAATTTAATTAAAATATGGGCGGGTGATCTGAATAGAAGCTTCTTGAAAAAATGCAAATGACCAACAAGTGTATGAAAACTGCTCCATCCAAATGAGAACTAAAACTAAGTATCCTCTCACTCCAGTTAGACTTGCCATTATTCAAAAACCAAAAAATAGTAAATGCAGGTGAGGGTGAGAAGAACTAACTCTTCTGTAGGGTTCATGGAAATGTAAATTGGTACAGCCCTTGCTGAGAAGAGTATGGAGATCCCTCAAAGCCAAACCTAGGCCTGCCATGTGATCTAGCCATCCCACTTCTGGGAAGATACCCAAAGGAAATGAACCAACATACTCAGAGACACCTGCACGCCATGCTTACGGCAGCACTGTTCACAACAGCCAAGGTATGGAATCAGTTTAGGTGCCTGTGGTGAGCCGTTTCTGTGAACTGTGGCCGCCATTACAAGATGGCGCTGGTTTCCCCTGTAGTCTGTGACAAACAACTCCTTATCAGAATGAGTTGGCACGCTGTGACTTGGCACCCTATGAGAAAAGTCCACGTGGCAGTTGTGCATTGGGGCTTTATCTGCTTTATTAAGGCTGGGGCACACGGGAGTATTAGTAGTGGCAGTAGTAGTAGCAGTAGTAGTAGTGGCAGTAGTAGTAGCAGTAGTAGTAGTGGCAGTAGGAGTAGCAGTAGAAGTAGTAGTAGGAGTAGCAGTAGAAGCTAAAAGACATGTCAATACAAAGGCCTGAATAAACAGCTGAAAGAAGAAAAAGTATCAAGGACCTGAATAAACTGCTGAAAGAAGATTCCTGAGTTGCGTCTTCCTTGCGGGCAAGGGGTCGCGACAGGTGCCCATCAAGAGATGAGTGGACAGAGAAATTGTGGTGTTTATACACCATGGAATATTCTTCAGCCATTGAGAATGAAATCCAGTCACTTGCAGCAAAATGGGAGGAACTGGAGGACATTCTGCTGAGTGAAATAGGTCAGGCACAGAAAGGCAAGTTCCTTGTCATGTGGAAGCAAAACAGTTGGCCTTATGTGGAATAGTAATTGTTAGAGGGCGGGGAGGTGTGTGCTGGGTGGGGAGGGTGGATACTGTGCAATGCGTTTTTTGGGGCACACTGTGTGCATGCAAGGAAATATCATGCTGAATCCCACCAATGATGCAATCAATACATGTTAGCCAGAAATAAAGCAAAAGGAAATCTGGTTTTCCATGGTGAATTTAAAACTAGTATAACAAGATAGAAAAGCAGGCTTCTCAGTGTCCTCTAAGACTCCTCTCAAAGTGACCCCAGAATTTGTTTGAAGAAGACAATGCAAAGATTCTGTTATTATAAAATAATAGAAAAATAACAGAACATTGCCACATCCTATTTCAATGTTCATTAAACCATCAGACTTTTTGTTGATATTTTTAATTCCAAATATTAGATATTTATTATTATAGAAATTAGAGTGTCATTAGCCTAGCAAACTCATGATTTTCATAAATAATATTTCCTAGGCCAAACTAAACATCCTATACCCTTTTAAAAATATTACTATCAGATATAGCAAAAGCGGTAAAGGAGATACAAAATGACCAAGGCCATCTTGAGGGACATTACTTTCATGTTTATTTGGTTTGATGATGTATACTATAGCATGCCTTGGTTAACAGGTTTTGTAGCATAGAACTTAGAGGTGAATGATGATAGATTATTGCTTATAAGACTTCTGCTTATCTTTTTAAAACATGTTAAATTAGACTTGGAACATGACTCAAGTTTTCTATAAAATAATCCATTTTCCTTCTTTGGAATGTAATAGGCTACCAGTTTAAGGTGCACGTTTTATTTGGTTTTTATGCATTAAAGGTTTATTTATAAGCTTTTTATCCACTGTGAATAATTTGAGTCACTGGATCATTCCCCAGCACAATCACATGCTGCAAAGTGACGCATGGTGGCGGAAGGCCCGCCCACACTTGCACTCCTGCACCTTCCCACGGGTGTGGGTTTTCCTGTGCTGGTTCAGGTGTGCGCTCTGGCTGAAGGCTTTCCCACACTCATGACATTTGTAAGGCCGCTCTCCAGTATGGGTCCTCTCATGCTGGTTGAGATGCGTCCTCTGGCTGAAGGTTTTCCCACAGAAGCTGCACTGATAGGGTTTCTCTCCCGTGTGAAGTCTATGGTGCTCTGTGAGAGATGTGATGCGGCTGAAGGCCTTGCCGCACTGATTGCACTTATAGGGTTTCTCTCCAGTGTGGATCCTCAGATGCTGGGTGAAGGAGGAATGCTGGCGGAAGGCTTTCCCACACTCATGGCACGTAAAAGGCTTTTCCCCCGTGTGAATTCTCTGATGTTGAATGAGGTGTATTCTCTGGCTGAATCTCTTCCCACAGTCATCACACTTGTAGGGCTTCTCTCCTGTCAACACTGGCTGAGGCTGGCCGAGAGGCAAGCTGTGGCTAAAGGCCTTTCCATGTTCCCTGGGGTTCTCCATGGCACATGCATTACTAGGAAGAAGAATATGTTGACCAAAGGTTCTTCCACACTCGTTATATTCACAGGGGTTCTCTCTCACAGGGTTTCCCTGATAGCAGATCAAGTCTGAGCTAAGTCTCAGGCTATTTTCTTGTGCACCATAATAAAGGGGTATTTGAAGAGAAGGATTTCTCTGACCATAATTGTCCTCTGATCTCCTACATTCGCTGTTTCTCTCCTGTGTGAGCTTTTGGTGGATGAGAGATACTGGTCCCAAATATCTCTGCTGGTTTTCTTGGTTCAACTCTAAGTGATAATCAAAATCCCAGAGCCCTCCTAAGATGGAGTACCAGAAACTGTCTCTTGTTAGTCTTTGCATGATCATGTCCTGGGTTTGGTTTTTATCAGAAATACTCTGGTTTAGAGGTGACTTTTTTACTTCAGGTATGTTCTCTGCATCTGAAAGAAATTCAKAACATATAAATTCTTCCCAATATTCTTTATGCTTTGAAAAAGAACTTGTTGTGTGAAGAACTGCCAAATGAAACAAGGCCATGTCACACGGGAAAGGTGATGGAGGGAGGGCAGGGAGCAGCGAGAGGGGATTTGAAATCTGGTGTAGCCATGACAGCAGGTCTCCCAGGAGAGAAAGGAGTGAAAGGAGTCTCTTGCTAGAGACACTAGGGCAGCTCTGTTCAGAGGAGAGAGGGCAGTGGCTTCCCAGAGAAGGCTGGCCCAGGCCAGGCCCTGGCAACTTCGTCTGTGGGTTTTCCTACTGCAAGGCCAGAAGCCCGCTGGGGAAGTATCTTCTCATTTTTCATCTTTTGTTTAAGCTGGTAAAAGTAATGGTTGTCTATAGTGTACCAAGCATACAAAAGTATACTTGCCTCTGTTTGAATAATATGGAAATGCATTAGGAAAGAGTCCCACCTGTAAAATAATCATAGCTGACACTTTGGAGCCTGTTTTGCCTGATTTTTTTCTTGTTGTTCACATAAATATCCACGAAAACCATAGTTTGATCAAGTACGACTTGTGGATTATGATAAAAACAAGATTCCATTCTGTTTTCCCACCACTGCTTTGAACTCTATCCTGCAGGTGTCCTCCCATCTCTCCAGAGGCCTGGGGCTCTCCTGATTTTTAGGTCATAGCTGCTTCTACTGCTACACCAGGTCAGTGTCATTCAGTCATTCCATGTCCTGTGGGGTGAAGTCTCTTCCTGTCCCTCTTGCTGGCCTCCTACTGATCCCCGCTCTGCTCCCTTCCCCTGCCTCCCCATGCCTCTGCTCAAGTCTCCCAGTAACTGCTTCCCTCCTCCCTTATCGACTAACCTGGCTAATTCTTGTCACAGGAGGCAGGAGAGGTGTTTTGAGGACGAGTTTAGGGGGTGAGGTTTTAAAGGGCTGAATAGCTCCAATTTTAAACTTGGCAGATGGTTAAAGCCAACTAAGTTTGGGGAACTTTCACCACTCTCGGGCAGTTCTTAGAGGACTCTCTCCTTCTCTCCTGTCATTTCCATTACCTAGATAGATATAGTTCTGTTTTGGGCAAGAATCCTACTTGACCACAGCCAAGGCTACACTGGCTGACCCATAAGAAACACCCTGTCCAAGAAAGTGTGGTAGCATAAACTCACCCCCACTGCTGGCTAACCACCCATTATAGTCAGCTGCCCAGGGCCCTGGATGTTCTGGGTAAGCATGCTTTGGCTTTCTCAAATGTGTACTTTACTATTGGTCTTATGACCACAGGGAACATGCATCACAGCTGCCTGAATGCGCCCTCCACAAGGGTGGCTGTATCATTATTGTCCCAACTGGGACTCTTGTCATTAAAAGCAATACCACCAACAATGAGAATCCTGGGGGGGGGGTTGTTTCTATAACCATAACTTGACTCTCCCCCTCACTCTCCTCCCTCTATCCCTTCCTTCAAAAGAGCGCTAGGGCCTCCGATAGTATTATATATTGCCTATGTAACTTTGTTTTTCACTGAATAATATTCTGAGTATAGATCAACCTCATTCTTTTTAAAGGTTATACCCTATTTTTAAAAAGCTATTCTCCTTAAGTTTTAGGTTTCCATTTTGTTGTTGTTGTTGTTGTTGTTGTTGTTGCTGGGATTGAACCCAGGGCCTCACAGATGTTAGGCCAATGTCCATAATAAGGAGGCATGGCAAGCAGCATCCAAGGGACAGGCCAGCATTTGGTCACACAGCTATATCCCAGCTTTTTAAATTTTTTTATTTTGAGATAGGGTCTTGCTAAGTTGCTGGCTAGCCTTAATCTTGTGACCCTCCTGCCTCAGCCTCCTGGTAGCTGGGACTACAGGTATGTACCACTGTGTGGTTATTTTCCCCAAGCCAGCTCAGCTTGAGATGGGCAGAGGGGAATGCTGCTCTCTTCTCCTTCCTGGTCTCAGGCCAAGGTTCACGCAGAGGATTCTGCAACAACCATCCAGCTCATGGGCTTTGTGTTAGCGCATCTGAGTACTCCAGCCCTGGCTGCCCCTCAGTCTCAAGCAACTACCTGGCCACATCCTTCCTCTGCTCCAGCTGACAATTCTCTGCATGACTTGCCTTCTGTATCCCTCAGCTTTTCAGGCCCTGCTCCCTCCAGTCTTACTCCATGGCAAAACTCTTTCCTGACCAAGTCTCCTCCTAATCGGCCAGGAGGAGCATCCTCCGCCATTCTGTGGATCTCCCTGCACTGTGTGTGTCCCTTCCCATCACCTCCCGACTGGCATTCACATTCCCAGCAGAGCAGGTGTATTGGGAGTGACTAATGGGAACTAAGAAGAAGAAAGAGGAGTAGAGAGAGGAGAGGAAAGGGTCTGAGAAGACAGGAGGGCTGGGGGAAGGAGAAAAAGAGAGGAGAGAGCCCAGGCTTCTGATTCCTGGGCTAGACTACATATTTCTCTTTATGGAACCACCCATAAAGTTAAGGAAGGGAAAAGAGGACAGGGGAGGGGAGGCCAGGGGAGGAAAGGGAGGCCAAGAGCAGAGACAGGAAGAGAAAACATACAGACCACCTGCAACCCTTTTGGGAGGTATGGGGCATGGAGCCCAGGCCTGTGCATGCTGGGAAAGAGCACCCACATGGAGCTGAAGCTTTCTCCCTGGATTGTAAGCTAGCCTTCTGGAGAGAAGCCTTATTATGAGACAGGATCCAGCTAAATTGCCTTGGCTGACTGAGTTAGTGATCCTGCCTCAGCCTCCCCCGTAAGGAATCTCCTGTTCAGTGCCCCCTTTTCCTATCGGTGGTCTTGGCCTCATCTACCTCTCCCTGCTTCCGACCTCATCTAGACCTCCGTTTCTTTGACTCTTCTGTGTGTCTAGTTTTCAGTCCTCTTTAGACCTCCTTCACTTCCTGGACTTTGACAAATCACTGATTCTTGATCAGTTTTCCTACTTTAGTGTCACTGAATCCTTAGGCCTTCCATCTCCGCACTGCAAACCCTGCCTGGTGTTAATGATGAGAAATAGAACATCTGTCATACCAAAAGCCACAGACAGACGCTTGGGGCAGAATCTCACTGGGCCTTCAGAGCTGCGGAGATTCCTCTTTCCATCTTTGGCCAGCTTCAACTAGCCTTAGTAAGCTCTCCTGAGTTCCCATTTTGTACCTGCTTTTCTAGTTCCTTGATGCTCAGCAGAAGACCTTGCTATCTGATTTGCCAAGAAAACAGAAATCTCCATACAGGAGCTCCCCAAGCCTCCCACCAGCAAACTTACTACACACACACTGCTCACACCTTCCCTCCAGTACACTCTCTTCTGGAACCCTGCCCCAGCTCACATCTATGCTTACCTACCCTTCTGCAGACTCCTCCCATCAGTGATATGGATAAGCTGAAACCATTCCTGCTTCTCCTTATTCTGGGGGAATCTCTGCATTTTCTCCTGTCCTGCCCTCACTTCTCATTACCCACTGTACGAACACCAGCACAGCTGTCTTTTCTAACCATGGACAGACTCCTCCCAATCACCTATCACTTTTCTCACTAATTCAATCACAACATCCTTGTTGCTGAATCCCTGGCTGTTTTCCAGGTTTCCTCTCGGCTAAGAAGAGATTTTGGATAAACTGGTGCTGGCCAATGTCCATATCAAGGAGGCATGGCATGCAGCATCCAGGGGACAGGCCAGCATTTGGTCACACAGCTAGGTCATCTTTTAGTCCCGAGCAACAGAAGGGCTTCACCACACCTTCATGAGGACAGATGGCTGTGTCCCACAGGACAAGGAAGAACTAGCAAGTGGTTTCCCTGGAAGAGACTGCAAGGCTGCCTGCCCCTGGAGGGACATGAAAAGGAACCAGTTGTTTGAGAGGACCTGAGAGCCCTGGGCATCCATGTGTAGTTGCATAATGAAGTTGGGAAGTTGTTCTATGGTTAGCAATTGATTTTTCTAGTTGGAGGCTTATGGGTAGGGACACAAGAGGGGACAGCATGGGTCCTACAGGTATAGCATATGCAATTTGGGGAAGGATCAGCTCTGCTCTCTTCAGTAGATCCTGCCTTGGCAATTCACCTGCAAAGGGAGTTTTTACAATCTCTTCCTTCAGTGTCCTGCTCCCCAGGTTCAGAGATGTGAAGGGCTGTAAAAATATGCCACTGCGAATGTCAGGTTCTTCACCGCACATCCTAATCAGCAGACTGCTCACTTAGGGGCCAAAGTGGGGGTGAGCTTATTACTAACATAACCTAGAGACACGCCAAAGCCAACTCAAGAAAGTAGAAGTGTGAATGGCAGAAAACCATGTGCACACAGTGAAACCAGGTGTCAGGGCACAGAATCAGTGAACTAGACAGGAAGTGGTGGGTGAGCCAGCTCCAGCAACCAGAAAGAACATGCCCACCTCAGCAGGCATTTGCTGAAGCAAGCAGGCAGAACACTGCTGGTGTGTTCCCGAAATAGGAGCTCTTAATATTCCCTGGTCAAGAAAGCCCATATTTAAGAGGCTCAAATAAGAGGGGAGAAAGTGAACAGACCTGGGTTTTGAAATCTTCAATTAAGTGATAACATGACATTAATAAGCAAAAATGCAATCTAAAATCTGGAAGGAGCATGTGTGTGAAACGTGGGCTGGAAATGCAGGAGTGGGAAAATAACATGGCAGGGTGTCTGAAAAGCAGAACACCTGGTGCCTTCACCCAGCAGGAGGAGGAGGAGAAGGTGGGAGAGGAAGGAGGGCAGAGGCACAACAGAGACTAGAAAAGCCAGGCAGTGTCAAGAAGGCAGGCCAACACAATCAGACCAGCAGGACATGGGCGGCTGAATTTGATGGGAAAGAAGTCAGTAATAGTCTCCAGGAAAACCATTTCAGCAGCACAGGTAGAACAGGGTTGTATCACACAGGCGTGCAAGCTGTAGGCTTACCTAAATTTAAAGAGTTTGATAATAAAAGGAAAAAGGAAAAAGAAAATGTAGACAAAAATACAGCATTTTTGATATGGAGAAGAAGGATTTAAAGAATACTGAGAGGACATCTGAATAAAAAATCCAGTGAAAATACTTTGTGGAGATCTGTAGCATTAAAGTACTTATGGGAGTTCAAACTAAGACTTGCAAAATAACTTTTATATTCCATATTTTAAAATTGTAAATATATATTTTGTTGAATTAAAAAACCCAGCCATTTCCACTTTGGAAATAAAATATGAACTGAATTTTTTTCAAAGGCCTCAGTATTCTTTAAATCCTGGGGGAGAGCAGAGCATACTCCAATGAACATTCATTTCAGAAGTGATGATTTCCTCTTAGGGTATAAGATGCCCACTGCTCACTTCTCACCTGGAGGGGTTTCCAGAGGGCCATCTCTTTCTGTTAACCGCAGCTCCTCTTGCTCCAACTGAGTGATCACCTCTGGCTTATAAAGCTGATGCCCTATACATGGAAAAAAGGATGTCTTAGGAGTTCATGCTGGGAGCAAAAACAGGTCCATCTCTAGGGGCTCTGGGCTTGGAGAAGGGAGGCTTCAGGGGCATCAAGATGAACTCCTCCTCTCACACTCATAGAGAGGGACAGAAAATGAAAGCCCCTCAGCCAGGACGGATTGGCACCCTCACTGTGGCCTAGCCTGCCTTTACAGAGGCTCTGCTGACTGTCGCCACTGAGAAAGGAAACTCAGTTTCCAGCGTTTGGGGGATGCCACCTTTACCCAGAGCCACCAGGTTCCTGTAGTTCTCCAGCATCACGTCCCGGTAGAGGTTCTTCTGAGCAGGGTACAGCCACTCCCACTCCTCTCTGGTGAAGTTCACGGCCACGTCCTGGAACGTCAGCGATTCCTGAAACACCAAGTACACCCCCACTCAGGCAGAAGCGCCCTTCAGAGGCCTTCAGAGGAAGGATGAAAACAGCACAGGGAAGAGAAGCATGCCTGAGCAGTCTTCTGAGGGTCTTTGGACTGAGCAATGCAGGATGAACCTTTCCAGACCACAAATGCCTATCTTTCTGTCACCTTTTAAGACCTGAAAATGTGCATGAGTTGGGTGCTGGTGTTGCAGGTCTGTGATCCCAGCTACCTGGGAGGCTGAGGCAGGAAGGTTTTGAGTTGGAGGACAGCCCAGGCCACACAGTAAGACCTTATCTCAAAACAAAACAAAACAAAACACAAAAATGCATGACATATTCTTTGCTTTTAAGCATCTGCAATTTGTTGCAGGCTAAAGATTCTCATCTCATCCACACAGTCAAAAGACTATATGAGAAATTGATTTCAGAAATGAAAGAATTGAAGATGTTTTGAAACTGAAATTAGGTATCATGTAGATGGAAATCCTTAATAGACTGTGTAAATACTTCATAGATGTTATGAACTGGACAGGAGAGAGGATACTTGGGTATGTTAAAAAAAAAAAAAAGCAACAAAGGCAGACAAAGGGGGAGTAGAAGTCACGGATCCAAGTTGGGGTGAGTAAAAGAAATTGACTCATTTCAGGCAGGGATTTAAAATACAAAGGGCGACCTCCAAATTCCTCCAGCACCAATGTTTTGTAAGCCATCTTTTGCCAGACACTGGTAACCCCCTCCTAATACAGAAATCTATCCCTCCTTCCACCCACAATGCTCCCCACTTTAGGGTACAAACAAATGCATCTCCCATAAGTTAGCTATATGACTATGATTTAATTTTCATGTCTTGATGATTCATCTTTCTAAAATATATTTCAATTCAATGACTTACTGAGGCTAGAAGTAATCAAACAATTCATCCAAGGACATAAATTGGCAGATTGCAACAGGGGTCCTCCTTAGCACCTGTTCCAGAGCTTGTGCTCCTGTCACACCACACAGATGCCTTCTTTCCTTCTGGGTGCTTCCTTCGCCAGCCTTTCTCTGAGGCAGCACCAGAAGCTGTGTCCACAAGGGACCCAGGTCTACACTCTGTATTTTTATTTTTTGGTCTTGGAGTTTGGGCCCAGGGCCTCTGGTGTGCTGAGCTTCACTGTGGCTGTTGGGGTCAGTACCCTGCTTCTAGCTTTTCCTCCCTTTCACACCTTCTACTGGCCAACCCTACATCTAGTGAGCCAGTTCTTCTTTCTTCCAAATCCTTAATGAATTTTATTTTTGGGTAGGTAATATATTATTATGACACAGTAACAAAAATATAAAAAGTACATAATAAAGCAGGGTCTTTTTCAGATTTCTCCCTTGTTGGTCAGCTTCTACTTCCCAGGAAATCAGAACTGTTCTTAGTTTCCAATGTATCTTTCCAGAATTTTTCTTTAAGCAAATGTGAATATAGATTATTTCCTGTTTTTTTTTACTTCTAAAGTAACATTTTATACACTATTTTTAATTTAATAATGGACTCAGAGATCTTTCCCTCTCAGACCTAACAGGACACAGCTTCCTTATTATTTTTTTAAAAGTGTTGTTTCATTTTGATCAACACATAAAAGCTGACTGCACAGAGAACAGTGGTTACTAGAGGCGGAGAGGGGAGGGGCAGATGGGAGGACTGGGTCATGGGTGCTGTCACAGTAAATGTGAGGAAGGAATTCTGGTGTTCCATTGGACCATGGGATGGATACAGTTAACACTGTACATTCAAAACAGAGGTGAAGACTTTATGGTGCTGGGCACTGACTCCGGACATGTGCATGCTAGGCAAGTGCTCTACCACTGCAGCCCAGAAGAGAATGTTCCAGCCACAGAGAAAGGAATGATCAACAAGAACTATAACAGCATTTGAGAGGAGAAGAAATGGGACTTACCTGGGACCTGACTGTCTGTGATCCATAGTTCACTTTCTCATCCCCACACCCCTCCTGGGAAAGCACAGCCTTCAGAGAGGGCATCACTGGGAAAAGAGTAGAACCACCCTGTTAATATATAATACTGGGGCTAAATTTAAACCTTGGGGCCTTTGTGTTGGCTTGGCAGACAGCTCATAGAGAGGACCTCAACAACAGCTGGACCCTGGTATCCCTGCTCCTCCATGACCCTGGGGAACTCGACACAGGACTTCCTTCCTCTGGCACACAGCCACTGGGAAGGAGGGAAAGGATGGAGGCTGGCACTCTTGTGTGGCAGGTGGGGAGCTCAGTGGTTCTTGACCCCAACTACACACTTGGAGACATTTAACAGGATGCCAGTGCCAAGCTCCTGCTCTCACAGATCCAGAAACCCACTGGTCTGCAGGAGGCCTGGGCAGCAGTTTTTAAACATTTTTATTTGTTTTTTGATGCATTATAATTATACAAATTAGTGGGGTTTATTATGTCATATTTGTGCATGTGTATAACATAACTTGATCAATCTCATTCCCTAGTACCTTCCCTTTTCCTCTCCTCTGTAGCCTTTTCCCCACATCCTTGCCAGCAATTATTGTTATTTGCATCCTTGACGATAGGCAACAGCACTCAAAATTCTGATAGTGCCAAGTGATTCTAACTGTGGATGTAAAATAGATGAGGTGATGCAGAAAACACACTTTGAGGACCTGTCTTATCTTGATCTCCCCAAGGGTTAAATTCAGCCCAAACTACAGAGACATGCTCCTCTGCTCTCAGGAGGCCTCTGAGTACACAAGGGAGGTTATATTCTCCTTCCTTCAGGTATCTGTGTTCCATTCTCACCAGAGCTACTACTGCACCTCTTTGCAACTCCTGGATGATGACTCTTCTGGAACAGCCTTTCCAGTCAGGAGATGCACCAGTGCCAGCAGTTTCAGTATCCTAGCCTGTCCTTAAAAGTGACTTTAGGGACATTACGTATGAGTAATGCCACTTCACTGAGGTGGTTGAGAATCAGGAGTCAATCATTTTTGATTCTTAGCAACACCCACCCTTGGGATCTTGCCTTGTTCATGCAGAGCTGAGTTGCAGGGGCTCCTGAAGGTAGTTATTACTCAACCATATGTGGGGACTTTGCTATGATACTCATATCTGTCCCTTGGTAGGATCTTGTGAGATACAGTTGCAGGTCAAGCACCTACAACACCTATCAGAGTTACAGAAGAAACTCAGAAGTCTTAGCTAAGGACGTAAGGAGTCTGAAAAGAGAAGTGCAAACTATTCATTCATAAAGACAGAGCACAGCTAGGTGTGGCAATCTTTAAGAATCAGAAGCACACTCAGAATTTCTGATTTGCACATTACAAAAAGCAGGGAAGTACAGATGATCTGACTCTTAAGATATTCAGCCTCAGTCCTACCTTTGCCTCATCCTTGTCCTGCTCTTTCACAAAGAGCAGTTTCTTCCCCTTAAGAGGGAAAAACAGGCATTACAGCCACAGAGTGAAATGCACTCATTTGCTACTAATCATGAAGAAAAGTTTTTTTTTTTTTTTTTTTTTTTTTTTTTTTTTTTTAAAGAGAGAAAAATGCAATTCTAGTAGAATGGCTCTATTAGATAAGGTAGCCATTCACTGCCTGGGACAGGGGGGTGTTAAGATTAACATTTCACAAAACACTTTAGGGGCTAGATTCAAATTTCACAGCTCTKAAAAAATCCCACTGTCAGAAAAGCCAGAGAGAACTTAATAAAAATACCCTTAAGTTTCAGACCCAGTCACCTCAAAGCCATGCACCTTATACCAAAAAACCCCATTAACTGTTAGGCAGAAGAGGATTTCTCCTTTATATATAAGAAAAGGACTCCAGAGATTACTGAGGTGACGTTTCTAAAGTGTGCTAAATAGTATCTCATTGCCTGTTACTCACAAAAAGAGAGCATATCAAATTTGGAAAATGCTGGCTTCAACAAAGTTAAATAAGCTTTTTTTTTTGCTACAAATCTTGATAGGAAGATTTAATGTCCATTGTGAATCCCAGATAAAACCTCATATGTTTAGTTTGAAAATATTTTTATGCCATCTACTCATTTTTCAAGTCTCAGATTAAATCAGGAAAGATTCTGATATCATAGATCAGGTGAGATCCCTCAATTACCAGTTTTTCAAGTGTCAGTTTTTATCGCTGTAATTATCCATTCAGCAAGCCATCTTCAAACATCTTCATGAATTCAGGAATCCTGTCTGATTTTTTACCCTTCTATTTTCAATGCCCAGGGCCCAGCAGTTAATAGGGACTAAATAAATATTTAATAAATGAATAAATAAAAGGTTTCTAGTGTTTACTTTTCTATTAAAATATTTAAATTTGCACTAATTTTAGAATTATAGAAAAGTTGCAAAAGAAATACATGCTTAATTCCTGTATACTATTCACCCTGCTTATCGAATGTTAATATTTCATATAACCATGGTACAATTATCAAAACCAGGACATGAACATCGGTTCGATGAACCCAAATTAGTCACATCTTGTGATTTTTCAGTAACATTCTTTCTCTGACATAGGATCCTAAATTGCATTTAGCTATTTTTTCTTAGTCTCTTCCAATCTGTAAGTTTTCCAGGCTTCCTATCTTCCATGGACCTGGCACGCTTTTTTTCTTTTCTAAGATTTAAAAGCACACATAACATATTTAGTGTATAGAGTAAAGGTGGAAAGGTACAAATCATCTAGTGAAACTCGGGGCCTGAGCAGTCATCCCCATTCGGGATCAGCCTTTGGAGTCATCCCTATCAATGCCATTCTGATGGTGGGAGAAGGTGAAAACCTGTCAGTACAGTAGTTACAGAGACAGGGAACTGTGCAGCAAGGCACTTAAGGCCATGGTAACAGAGTGGCAGTGCACGAGCAAGTAGTCTTTAGAGTGACATCATATAGTCTAGTAAATGCTTCAGTTCCACTAGTACATTTACCGACGATTTAAGGAGTGTTTCTGGACATCCAGTTTCATTATGCTTTTATACCAGACTATTCTCAAGCATGCAATATAATACATTCCAGCAAAACAACGTTCGGCGGCATCAGTTTCCCCTTCCTTCTCAGGTACTGACATCAGCTGTCATCTCAGTCCAAGCAGAAAAGCGGCGCGTGGCGTAACCGGTCTGCCCTGCAGACCGCGGGGCTGCGCGGGGAGCATCGCAGACCCGCTGTGTGATAAAGGCCAACCCACCGCGTCGAGAACCTGGGAGCGGCCGGCGGAGAGACGCTGGGGCTCCGGGAGCAGCGCGCGGGCTTCTCGCCCCGGGCGCGGGGCACACAGCGGTGGGTGGCCTTGCCCTGGGACGGCCCAGGGCGCCTCTCCCGGGCGCACTCACCGGCTCCGCGGACTGAGGCCCTCGCGCCGCCCCGACGCCGCAGCCTGCACCGGGAGCGGAAGGGCGCCGCCGGCCAGGGCGGAGCAAGCGCTGGCGATCGGCCCACCGCAACCTGCGCAATGGCGACGCGGGCTCGGGGGGCGCATGCGCGGCGCCCCCTCTGTAGGGAGTGGCGACTGAGACTGCAGCCCACCAAGCTAGCCCGCTTTTCGCAGCCCTCCAGCCTCTGGGCCTCCGATTGTACGCCGCCGGGGGTGCTAGCCCAAGTGCAGGTGGAGGCTCCGCACGCTGCCAACCACCGCACCCGGCCAATCACACGGAGACCGCCTGAGGTGCCGCTGGAGGGCCCGGCACCCTGTCAATCACTTGGGGGCCTTCGGAGGTGCAGACTAAGCCCCCACACCTCGCATCCTGCCAACCACACGGAGGCCGGTCAAAGTGCAGATAGAAGCGCCCCCCCCCCCACCCTGCCAATCACACCGAGGTTCCAATGTGGCAGAGTCTGGGCACAAATCGCTTTCTGCTCCCCATTTTACTTTGGCGAACCTCAAAATACAGTAATTGAACCGTTACAGGTCTGCTTTTGAGAAGAGTGGGGCTCTTTACAAGGGGATGATATTTTGCTTAACCCGGGTTCAAGTTAGTGTTCTTTATCACCAAAACSGATTACCTATTTATGCTAGTTATAATGAAATTTTACATATTTCATTTTTAAAACTTTATCAGATAGCCAAGTGCTGTCAAACACAGGTATCATCCCAGAGTGTATAATTTAACTTGAGCATATGCATCGCTCCTAGTGCGTTTATAGAATTCCATGATTCTCTCTTAAAAAAAATATTTATTTTTTAGTTGTACACAATACCTTTATTTTATTTACTTATTTTCATGTGGTGCTGAGGATGGAACCCAGGGCCTCACAGGTGCGAGGCAAGCACTCTACCGCTGAACCACAACTCCAGCCTCTCCGTGATTCTCTTGATACTGCCTTTTAGCAATTCACTATGTGGCAGATTAATCAGGTACAGTGGAAGGATAGGTGAAAGCTCCTTGAAGGCAATAGTTAAATGGATTTGAAATATGGAAATTTCCTTTGCAGTGGCACGCAGGTCCGAAAATGCCACCACAACTATAGTTTGAGCTTGGAAAATACAGCCACTGCTAGTTCTGCCTGGAGATGAGGCTCTCACTGTTAGACCAGGACRCAAGAAAAGACCACTGACTCCAATTAAAATCAAATTAAAGCAAGCTTATTATTTCGACCGGCCGGGCTGCCTTTCCCTCCCAAAACGGTGGGAACAAGACAGCCCCGAGGCTTCTTTGTGGCCCAGTTTTATAGCCCAAAAAGTTACACAAAGGGGGGGGGGTTACAGATAACAACACTCTGAGGAGCATAACACAAGTTTACATTTTTGCTGGCCCCGGCATCAGAATTTATGGAGATCTTAGAGACTCAGAGAGGGTCATTGTCCGGCCAGGGAAGGCCAGAATTTATGAGGCRTCACTAAGGTTTAGGAAAGGGTTGTTATCTGGTCAGGGAAACCGGACCTGGGTGAGTTCAGGACATGGGCAGGCATTCCAAGTAGGTTCAGAATTTGCAGTAATTTATAGTAAAGCCGAAATTATCTTTTCATGGTTTTATGGTGAGATGCCCAATTTTAAGAAAGGTTGGGTCTATCACTCACTTCCTGTTTTTGCTCATGACAGCACTGGGAATGCATAAAGCAGTCTGATACTGTGATTCAGTCAGTGATCCTTGAGGTAACTTTATTGTAGCATAAGCTGTATGTTACAAACTGTCGCTTTTGACCCTGCAGCTTAAGACTAGGGCCTTTCACCCCACGTTGGTCGCCAATTGCCGGTTTCATGTTTGCGACTAAAAGGCTCAGGGGTCACTCCAGGAAAACTGGGCTGACTGGGCTGTGCAAAATAACCACACAAGAGACATAAATACCTTTTTCTTTGGGGGTCGCTGTGAAGGCTCCTCTGACCTTAAGGATCACTCGCTGACCCCTTTTATTGAGGAGAAGCTATTCAAATGAGGTAAAGGGTCAGGTTTCAGGGGGCTGAGTCTATCTTCATGATGTCCACTGTCAACAGGTTGATTGACATCTAGGTAGGCCACACCCAAGGGCACAGTAAGAGAAGGGGACACACACACAAGGCWTTTCCATGGAAGATTCTACCCTAAACAGGGCAAGGGGTTATATTACAAAGGAACAGATGAGCATAGCTCCACCCATGAGGCTGTAGGAAGTCACTCCCAGGCAGGAAGACTCAACTCTGGAAGAGCAGGGTAGTCTAGCAGCCTGGGTGCCTGACTGCCACATCGCCCAGCAGGGGAGTTAACTCTGTCAGTGGGAGGATGGTCTCCCACAACAAATGCTGTTTTGTCTTGTAATTTTAAATTGAATTCATTAAGAAATAATATCAACCCCAGCGTAGGGTGGGGAATGGTAGGTGGGGTGGTGGGGTAAGAAAGCAGAAGGAAAGAAACAGTATCATGTCTGGGACAAGTGATTTCCGAAGCCAATCAGATCAAGTCAATCAGACGTTTGTCATTTCTTTGTGGGGAAAATTTTGAAAATCCTTTCTCCTTGATTTCTGAAACACACAGCACATTATTATCTAGTCACTCAGGGTGCAAGAGTTCACCAGAACTTCCTGCTCCCAAGTGCAGCTCCATGGTATGGATCAACTTCCCAACCCCTCCCCAGGCTCTGCTTTCCCTGGCTTCTGGGGACCACCATTCCTTTCCTTTTTCTTTTTTTTTTTTTTTTTAATATTTATATTTTAGTATTTGGCGGACACAACATCTTTGTTTGTATGTGGTGCTGAGGATCGAACCCCAGGCGCACCCATGCCAGGCGAGCGCGCTACGGCTTGAGCCACATCCCCAGTCCCACCACCATTCCTTTTCTGGTTCTGGGGATGAACTCTGGGTCTCAGATATGCCAGGCCAGCAACTTAACCACTGAGCCATCACATTTTTAAAAAAATTAAATTATTTATTTATTCTAATTTGTTATACATGATGGCAGAATGCAGCTCATTTCATATTACACAGATAGAGCATAGTTTTTGAGATCACATTTTTTTTAGATTCCATATATGAATGAAATTTTCAGATTTATTTCACTTAATGTAATGTCCTCCAGTTCCCTCCATGTTGTCATCATGAATGACAGAATTAATTTCTTTCTTTTTGTGTGTGTGTGTGGCTGAATAGCATTCCACTGCATATAGGTACCACATTTTCTTTATCCATTCATCAACTGATGGACACTTAGAGTGTACCCCTTTCTTGGCTATTGTGAAAATATTGCTTCAGTGAACACCCGAGAGCAGCTGTCACTTGGATACACTGATTTTGTTTCCTTTGGCTGTGCACCCAGCAGTGAGATTGCTGAGTCATATGGCAGTTCTATTTTTATTTATTTATTTATTTATCTTGGGATTTTTTTTTAAAACTGGAGCATATTAATTACACAGAATAGTAGGTTCAATTGTGGCATATTCATACATGCATGTAGCATTATAGGATCAGATTCACTCCTCAGTGCCTCTCTGGCCCTCCCCTCCCCATCTGGTCTTCTTCCTCTAACATAGTGATCTCTGTTCTACTTTCCTGGTGTCCTTTTTCTTGAGTGCCTTTGCTCTCAAGATGTGCAGGAGCATGAGAAACTCATTGAGAACTGTCTTCCATGGGCTGTCAGTCTTAGCTGGGACTGTTGGCCTCTGCCTGTGGCTGAGCTTCTTTATGGAATGGCTTTTAGGTTCCCTAAATAGAGAGCCAGGCAGATGCCACATGACCTTTTGGGATACAGCTGCAGACATCAGGCAGTATCATTTTTGCAGCCTCCACAGAAATGGAAATTCTTTGATATAGCCACATAAGTCTGAGTTTAAGGGAAGGAGTAGCTTTCATTGCTTTGATGATAAATTTGCAATGTTCTAGAAGAGCCCCTGGGACTAGAAAGGTGTCTGGCATATTTTTGGAGAACACCATTTGTCACCCCCAAACTACTGGATAACTGAAAACTCTTAAATGTGTCCATCAGGTGCTCAGAAGGAAGAGAAGGCCTTGACACGGCTGCAAGACTCAGCAACCCCAGAATCTGCCATTGGCAGTGATTTGATGGACCTGGATGACATCACATCAGGTCAGATTAGCCAGGGACAGGAAGACAAGTGCTCCATTCTCTCTGATCCATGGTCCAGTTATAGAAGTCCAGTTGAAAATAGGATTGTGAATACCAGGGACTGGAAAGGGTACAAGGGGGAGGGAGGGAAGGGGGTGATTGGGTTTGACCAGTGACTGCTTTGTGCATGTTTTGGAATATTACATTGAACCACACGAACCTATACAATTAGCACATGTTAATGAAAAAGGAAAGAAGCCCTTAACAGCTGCACCAAAAAGTGATTAGAACTGTCACGTTCTTCACTACTTAAAACACTCAGGGTCATCCCAGGGGAACTGGGCTGCACCAAATAACCACACAAGATACAGAGGTACCTTTTTCTTTGGGGGGGGGGTCCTGTGACAGCTCCTCTGACCTTAAGGGTCCACAGAAAGAGAGCGAGTGTATGCTGAACCCTATTATTGGGGAGAAGCCATTCAAATGAGGCAAGGGGTCAGGTTTAGGGGGTTGAGTCTAGCTTTGTGATGTCTGCTGTCAGCAGATTGACTGACATCTAGGAAGGCCACACCCAAAGGCACAGCAAGAGAAGGGACACACAAAGTGTTTCCATGGAACATTCTATCCCAAACAGGGCAAAGGGGTAGTATCACAAAGGAACAGATGAGCGTAGCTCAATCCATGGGGCGACACGCCTATATCTGAAGACGTGTCCTCAAACTTCCGTGACCAGGGCAATGTCCAGGTCACTATGAGATGTAGTTACGGTCAAAGTTTCTCCGATCTGGGAAGGAGAATGTGAATCATTCGGACTGGCTCCCCACATAGAACAGTAAATGAATTCAGCAAAGTTGCATTTACACAACATGAAATGCTTAGAAACTTGTTCAATGTGGGAAATGATTCTGTAATGAAAACAATAAACCATTGAAGAAAGGCATTGTAGAGAGCAAATAAATGAAAAGTTCTCACATATTAATGCATTATAAGAATTAACATTGTTAAAATTACGTCCACTTTACCCATGGATAGTTTCAACAGCAGAAGTAAGAATGCATAAACTTTAGGACAGATAATTTGAAATAAC